TTATTTACTGTATTATTCACTGTATTCACTGTATTCACTGTATTATTCACTGTATTCACTGTATTATTTACTGTATTATTCACTATTATTCACTGTATTCACTGTATTATTCATGGTGTTATTCACTGTATTTACTGTAAAATACAAGGGACAGTAAATGATTCAAATGCAAGTTCAAGTGATACAGACTTGAGCTGATTCTGAAGAGTGGTGTAAATGACCCCTGTTCCTGGATAGGGGAGAGGAGGTGGTCATTTCCAGTGTCTTAGTAATGTCAAGAGGTCTGTCCAGTTTCATTCTTTTCTTGAGCCTTGTTAATGGTTTTTATTACAACTAGGGCCATTTCAGAGGTTAAAGTGTCAACCACTTTGCTGTGGGTCTGGAGTCACATATAGATTTCCTTCCCTAAAAGGACATTAGTGGACCAGATGGGTCTTTACAACAATGAACAATAGTTCCATGGTTATCATTCAGATTTTCAATTCCAGATCTTGGACTCTGCCATGGTGGGATTCAAACCTGAGTCTTCAGAGTATTCCCTGGATCTGCTGATTACCAGGCCAGTGGCAATACCAGTACACCGTTGCCTCCCCATTGTAGATGGTGGTCAGGCTTTGTGGATACAGGAGGTGAGTTACTCACTGTGGAATTCAGCCTCTGACCTGCTCTTGTATAGGTGGCTGAACCAGTTCATCTTCTGTTCAATGGCATTCCCCTCAAATCTTAATCCTGGGGTATAGAGCGATGGTAAAGCCATTGAATGCCAAGGAGAGATTCTGTCTCGAGATGGGGCATTGCCTGGCACCTGCATGGTGCAAAATTTATGTTCCATTTATCAGCCTGAGCTCTGGCATTGTCCTGGTCTGTCTGCATATGGACACAGGCTGCTTCAGCTTCTGAATCATGAATACTGCCGAATTATGCTGTCATCTGCCCACATCCCACTTCTGGAAGCAATTGTGCTCCTATTACTTCTTCCTTCCAGCCTTTCCCTGGCCCATCCCCCAGGTATAAGACTTGATCTCTGAAGAAAGCACCACTCCTTCATTAAAACCATAGTGTTATAGCTACTGCTATACAAGTATTTAATTTTGGAACAAATGATTGGGAAAGGGCGATTGGGGGCGCGGTAGGAGAATAAAAAAAATCAATGCGACCCCATCTCTTTAATTTACCCAGCCTGGCCCACTCCCCCTCAATCTGCCTGGAATAGGTTGCAGTGATTTTTAAAAGCTGGACATAATCTGGCTTTAAATTAAACCCTCAGGTTTGAAAGCGGAGATCATTCCCGTGTCCCACATGTTGGCTTTTTTTTCTCTCTCTCTGTCTGTGGTGCCCAGCCCCCTGATGTTCCACACGGATTAAATTGGATGCTGAGTTCAGTTCCTTGGCCAATGGCTGCTTCCAGCCTGCGCTCAGCCCCTTGTTAATTTTCTGGCTCGTTTGTCTGGACACCACATGTTGCTAGGAAGTTGAAGAATAAGAAACAGCTCATGTCATTTATTTTAAAGCAAGCCTTTCAGCTGAAATCATATTTGGCAGCTTCTGAGTCTTATTTTCCCCAGCCCCCCACTCCTATCCCTGCTGCTGGATTTCTCGGAAACACTTATTCCAGACCAGCACTATGCCGTCTTCATGTTCTGCATCACTGACCTCATCGTTTCTGTGCTGCAGTATGTTCTCCCAGCCCCATCCCCCTCAGGTACTTCTGCATTTGTCCCTGTCACTGACTCTGCCTGCACTGGGAAAGCTCCTTTCGCAAATCTCCACCAACGCACTTTACAGACACTTAAATACTTTGTTGTGCGTTCTGTTGTAATGTAGAAATTGCAGCTGCCAGTTTATACACTGGCTGAAGGGAAAATATTGGTCAGGAATATACCACAAGGTCTTTAGTGTACACTCTCGAGGGAAGACATCTAAAAGACAACACCTTCAATGCTATAGTGCTCCCTCAGCCCTGCACTCAAGTGTGAATAGGTGAGTAGGTATGATGGACACTGCAATCAATTGCTGCCCCCTCAGACTATTTCAATGTAGCCCCCTCCATGTCTTCACAGCCTTCTGTGTTTTTGTTGTTATTGCATTGTGCCTGGTGGGGAGTCCTTGTTCATTGTTTCATTGGTGACTCAGTGGAGGTTTATATACAAAAATCTTTTCCCCCAGGGTAGGGGAGTCCAAAACTAGAGGGGCATAGGTTTAAGGTGAGAGGGGAAAGATTTAAAAGGGACCTAAGGGGCAACTTTTTCACACAGAGGGTGGTGTGTGTATGGAATGAGCTGCCAGAGGAAGTGGTAGAGACTGGTACAATTACAACATTTAAAAGGCATCTGGATGGGTATATGAAAAGGAAGGGTTTAGAGGGATATGGATCAAATGCTGGCAAATGGGAAGAGATTAATTTAGGATATCTAGTCGGCATGGACGAGTTGGACCAAAGGATCTGTTTCAAGCTGTACATGTCAATGACTCCCTGAAAGAAATGAGAGGGGCCCCGTTGTATTTCAGTGGCAGTGTCCCTATCCCTGGACTGGGAGGCCGCCTCCAGCTCCAGAAGTGTACAAAAACATCTCTGAGCAGACTGATTAGAAAAACAGGACAAAAGAAATTAGTGGGATATGGACACACAGCCAGGGGTCAGACCGTGCCAGAAAGGTCAGTCCACCCACAATGGTGATCCATGTCTCACTCTCTGGAGCCCCTTGTCCAGGTTTTGCAGTGTGCCTGGATGCCCTTCGCCCACCTAGCCGCTCCTATCCCACTGATGACTCAGCTCAGAATGCACTCCCCACTCCCCCCGTCAGGTTAGCGTCAGACAGCAGTATTTCGGCAAATTGAAACCCATGAAAGCAGTTATTAGGCAAACAGAAGTGAAAACTCTGCATCTTCATTGCCTCAGTATGTGGTTAAAAAGAGTGCAGATTCCATGTTTTCTGGAGATCCAGGGGCAAAGACAGCTGAGGTTCCCAACCCCTCGAGGCCGGCTATTCGCCTGCGGGGGCCTCACAGTCAAGCCCAGTTCCATTTCCCAGCGGCCGGAAAGCACCCTGCCGGGTTTTACCCCCTCAAAAAAGGAAAGGGGTCACTTACCCCCCTCATTCTAGTCAGCTAAACCCCGGGAGTTTGTTACTGGTGGTCGAGTTTCTGATTGCAGCCCTGAAACAGCACAGAACGTACTGACCCGGGGGTCAGTTTCAGATTTTAAAATATGTTGAACAGCCCAGTTTTTAATCTTTACACAGAACAGATTACATTTTTGAGAAAAAAAAAGCATTAAACCTACCCTCCCTATTTAAAATGTGAAAAAAAGTCAATGCATTTTGCTTTTGTTTCCATTTATAATATTTTCCTATTGCCGCACATTTTTTGCCTCCAGTCATGTTTTTAAATTTTAAAAAATGTTCTAGGCCGTGCCAACTCTGCCTGCGGACGAACTTGTTGGAAACTTTTCAAAAACTCTCTCTCTCTCTCTCTCTCTCTCCTGTTCCTGCAGACCACTCCCCAGAAAGAGTTGCTGACGCGTCTCCTGTGTCGGCTGGGGATAGGGAACTCAGTCAGTGTTGCCTTACACGGTGGAACATCGCGAAGCTGTTGTCGTTGAAGGCGATGGCAGGAGCTATGTACACCCTGCTGTCTCTGTGCCTCAGCCTGGGGCAGCCGCCGCTAGCTAGCGCCTACTTTTCCGAGGAACGCCAGCCCGGCGAGTCCCCACTGCAGAGCCCCACCGTGCTGATCACCATCATCGCCCGGAACACGGCTCACACCCTGCCTTACTACCTGGGGGCTATCGAGAGGCTGGACTACCCCAAGGACAGAATCTCCATTTGGTAACTGAACATTTCCTCACTTAAAGGGTGGGGGGCTCAGTGCCTCACACCGGGTTCGATCCCACCCTCCGCTGACTGTCTTGGGTGCCCATCCTCTAGAGATGTGCAGGTTAGGGTGGGTGGGCCATGCAAAGTTGCCCCCATAGTGTCCAGGGGTGTGTGGGGTTTATCCGTGGGAAATGCGGGGTTACAGGGATAGGGTGGGGGTTGCCCTCTGCAAGGGCGATGGGCCAGATGGCCTCTTTCTGCACGCTAAGTTGCTCAGGGATGTGTAGGCTTAGGTGGGTTCGCCATGGGGAAATGCAGGGTTACAGGTGATGCAGTGAGTCTGGGTGGGATGCTCTTTGGAGGGTCAGTGTAAACTTGATGGGCCGAATGGCCTGCTTCCACACCGTAGGGATTCTGTGATTCTATAAAGTTATTCTGTGTTGATTTAAAAAATTGCAGTAAGGCTCAGACCAACTTCCCCTTGTTTGCAAACCCTGTTTCTTTTGTATGTTATTCTGGAATGCTTAAGCCCCTCAGTTCAGCTGCACCCGAGCTCAATTAGACCTGTTAGTGAAGGAATGGCATATCTCATATTGATACACTATTTTTTAAAACAAAAGGTCCTGCACTCTGTGTGCATGTCAACCCATTACCCCACTAGGGATTCTATCATTCTGTTCTATGACTCAGTACTTCACCCCATGTGTGTACATAGAATATAGCAGCAGGAGGAGGCCATTCGGTCCTTCGAGACTGCTTCTCCATTCAATATGATCATGGCTGATTATCCCCAATCCTGTTCCTGCTTTCTCCCCATATCCTCTGATCCCTTTGGTCAAAGAGGCCCTTTAGGGACTGGCAATAAAAATTGGCCAGCAATGCCGATGTCCCGAAGGAGAATTAAAAAATCATATCTATCCCTCTTCCTTCCTTGACTGCTTTCTGTGATGGAGAATTCCACAGGGTCCCCACCCTCCTCATTTCTCCTCATCTCAGTCTCACTACCCCATTTCCTTAAACTGTGATCCCTAGTTCTGGACTCCCCAGTCATCGCAAACATCCTGCATAAGTTTAGCTTGTCTAGTCCTGTTAGAATTTTATATGTTTCTATGAGATCCCCTTCTCATCCTTCTAAAGTCCAATGAATATTGTCCTACCGATCCAGTCTCTCCATACATCAAATGAATGTAGTTCTGGCAGGGAGGTGAGTAGGAGTAGGGGGTTACCTCAAGGAGCCTAAAGTAGGGAAGGGGCAGAGATCAGTCAGAGTCTTTGCTCCTGGTCATTGTCCAGTGGCCCTAGCTACACAATGTGTGGGTGGTGGGACATCAATGAGCAGCCCCTGAGGACTGAGAGCTGCCATCTTACACTGGAATGTAGTGCGAACAAGATCATTGGTGAGAGGCGTGCAGGTGGAGAGCTCATTCAGACTGTACACATGAAAGTTGTAACAAGAGCACTCCAGAGTTCTGGACTGAACAACATTTGGAATGAGGTTACTGAGTGGCAGAGGCACAGTTTTGAATACTTTAAATTTCCCTAAACTTGTGGTCTCAATAAAACATTTCTGTTTCCAGCCCAGTGAGAGCCAAGTATAAGTTTATAATGGACAGGAGATACCTTATGCAGTCTGAATCGTGGTTTTTGAGTGACCTGACTGCCAATTTTACTTGGGAACTAAATATTACAGGATAACCTTAATATTCCGTGTTCGTACAGAGACACCCATTTTAGAAAAACATTTCATTTTAAAGATGGTCGAAGTTGATGTAGTTTTTATATTTGAGCTAGATATCTCGTAGACTGGAAATACCAATGTTCCATCCCTATAAACCGTCATTCTCTTACATTCAGTTTTTAAAAGTTGATTTTTTGGAATGTGGCCATCACCAGTTTGTTGTCCATTCCTCATTGCCCTTGAACTCAGTGGCTTACTCAATCATTTCACACACAGCCACACTGGTTGGGTCTGAAACCCCATGTAGGCTAGAACAGGTCAAGGTGACACTGGTTTTGTGATCACTATGACCAATACTAGTTTTCAAATCGAGCTTGTATTTTAATCAATTGAATTTAATTCCACTAGATTCTGGGACAGGATTTGAACCGTTGTCTGCAGAGTATCTGCCAGGTCACTGATGTCCTAATCCAGCAACATTTCCACGACTCTGTCAACTCCCTCTGATTGTCCATTCCCTGTTTTCCTAAGAAAAGGTGGTGCTGATGGGCTGACCCTTTCTATTTCAACAGGTTTAATATGGCTGTGTGCCGTGGTAAACCACTCCCACAACCCCCATTTATATAGCACCTTTGACATAGTAAAACATCTCTGTAGACCTTCAAGCAAAATTATCAAGCGTTTTGTTTTAATTTGTTCATGGGACATTGTGTGTCCCTGGCTGGGTCAGCATTTATTACCCATTCCTAATTGCCTGGCAGCAAGTACAAGTCAACTATCCCCTCTGTGGTGTGGAGTCACATATAGGCCAGACTGGGTAACGACAGCAGACTTCTTTCCCACAAGGGCATTTAGTGAACCAGATGGGTTTAGCTTTTATTTTAAGATTCCAGGTCTTTGGTTGAATTCAACTTTCATCATCTGCCTTGGTGTGAGTCAAAGCCACAACCCAGAGCATGAACCTGGGCCTGCTGAATTGCTAGTTCAGTGACGTTACCACGACTGAGTGCTCTGGCACAGGAGCCCACCAGATGATGTGAATACAGGGTTTTTAAGGAGCAACTTAAGAGAGATGGGGAAGAGCCTTGTGGAGGGAATTCCCAAAGACAGGATTGAGGCAGCTGAAGACAGTGCCACCTGTGGGGGAGCAATTAAAATTGAGGATGTACAAGTGGCCAGTACTAGAATCATAGAATCCCTGCAGTATGGAAGCAGGCCATTTGGCCCATCGAGTCCACACCGATCCTCCTCCTCCTCGGAATGACCGTATCCTGGAGAGCGTGGGCCTTCAGCTGCTCTGAGTCAGCCACACTGACATGGAGTCATAGGGCTCTTGTGGTGCAGTTGTAGTGTCCCTACTTCTGAGCACAGAGCCCTGGGTTCAAGTCCCACTTGGCCTGGACTTGTGTAAAGGGTTGATTAAACATTTCAATGCTCGACCTGGAGTCATCTTTGGACCAGATGAGTTAAAACTGGAAAGATTCCTCCCTTAAAGAATACTTCATCAAGTATTTACGTCTATATTGTGACTTGCCATCCCTCTGTCATGGGATGGCTGTTTAAAAAGGGCAAGACACCAAACATTCTGCACTCAGCCATGGCCCACCAGCAGTGTGTGTAGAGACACAGTGGTGTACACTTCCGCACTCAGCTTTCATGTCTGTTTCCTCAGGGCAGCAACGGATCACAATATAGACAACACGACGGCCATCCTGCTTGAGTGGCTGACCAGCGTGCGGAGGTTTTACCATTACATAGAGTGGCGCCCAATGGATGAACCAGTGTGAGTATTTACACCTCCTCTCTACACCGGTTCCTGAAAGGAACGAGTTATTCCTATGAGCAGTACAGTGCAATTGATTCAGAACTCCTAGGAGGACCCTGTCGAAGTGCTCATTGATATCACTGTAAATTATAGTGTAATTAATTGAAGACAGTACTTATGGTAAATTGTGCCATAATTTACAGGCTGAATGAATTTCTAATTGTCTGTTTTAGCAATAGCAGCCAGTGACTTTCACACATTGCTGTCTATGCTGCAGCCTATGTTGTATAAAATTCTTGTGTAAAACATTTTGTCATCTTTTTGCAATTTCTACAATTTATCTTTTGCCCTCTCCTAAGGCCACAATGGGTTAAAGAAAGAGAGAACTTGCATTTATATTGCACCTTTTGCTCCACCGGGACATTCCACAATGCCTCACAGCCAGTTTTTGAAATGCATTTATTATTATAATGAAGGAGACACAGCAGGACTAGCCATATAAAAACTGTGGCTACAACAGGAGCTTAGCAGTTAGGAATCCTGCTGCCTGATTGCCACTCTACAAAGACCCCAGGAAGCTAATGAATGGATAATTTTACCCTTCAGCATTTACAGGGTATGTTCATGGGGGAAGATGGTGGTAGAGGGGTATCATAGAATCACTACACCGTGGAAGCAGGCCATTGAGTCCACACTGACACTCCAAAGAGCATCCCATCCAAACCTACCCCACCCCTGTAACCCTGCATTTCCCATTGCTAACCCTCCTAATCTGTACATTTTTGGACACTACGGACAATTTCCCACGGCCAGTCCACCTAACCTGCACGTTTTTGGACTGTGGGAGGAAACCAGAGGAAACCCACACAGACATGGGGAGAATGTACCAACTCCACGCAGACAGACACCCAAAGGGTAGAGTCGAACCCACATCACCAGCACTGTGAGGCAGCAGTGCTAGCCACTGACCCACAGTCCAGAATAATGTCACTGAATTATAAATCCAAAAGACCATACTTGAGGGACATGGGTTCTAATCCCCAGTGTGTCACCTCATTGAATTTCAAATTCAGAGAATAAATCTGGTAGAGCTGGTCTCAGTAATGGTTATTAAAAACTAAGCTGGTTCACTAAGCCATTACATCTATTGTCCTGTATGTGACTTCCTATCAAATGGTTCAGCAAGTTATCAGTTGAAGGGCAATTAGGGATGGGAAACTAATGCTGGCCTTGCCAGTGATGTCCATATCCTGTGAAAGAATAAAGAAGGAAAAAATGTTTTGCCTCTCCGCCTGCTCCAGACATAATCCGAGTTCGAGAGTCGATTCTTGTGCTACTGAGTGTTTCAGTTTCAAAGTGGAGAAGAAGGAAAAATAAAGTTCATGAGACCACTGTTGCACGTTTCTGAAGGGCTTAGTGATGGCACTGCAATTGTAGTAAGCTGGATTGTACTGTGGATGGTTTGTACTGAGGGAATGGGTTAGACAGGTCATTGTGAAGGTTGAGGATTTGACTTCTCCTGTAATGTAGCTAAAGTCTGGACCATACAATCTCTAGGACAGATACCTCTCATTGAACAAACATTGAAAGCTGGATCAGAGGGACTGTTAGAAAGCTTGCACATCTGCAAACTGCATTAATTTTGCTGGCAGTTTTCTCATATTCCTTTTGTGCAGGTCTGTCATGAGATATTGAATTCTTAATGAAAACCATCTGGTGCTAAATGAGCCTCTGTGGGAACGGGTAGCTCAGGGCTGGCTTATGAGATTTAGCTGTAGTATTTTGAGGGAACTATTTCCTCCCTGATCGCTCATGTCACCTGTGGGTTTACACAGCACCATCTCGACAGTCTGAATGGTCGGAGCAAATTGTTCTGCCTTTCGTGAAACAAGCACAAATATTTCACGTGGCAGAAGGGTCTGAGGTGGATTACGTTGAATTCATTCTCTGTTTCATTCTCTACGTGCCTGTGCAATCAAATTAAATGAATTGCATTCCACCACAAGGGTTCAATCCATCCCTCCACATTATCATTCTGTAGGTGAAGGCAAATGCTTTCCTCAGCATCTCAATCCACCCATTTATTTTATTGGGCACGAGGTTGATTTTGGGTCTCTCATTCATCCCCGATTTTGATCACTCCAGTATTAGTGGCCGTGCTTTCAGGCGGCTGGGCCCTAAGCTCGGAAATCCTTTCCAACAAACCTCTCCACCTCTCTCTTAATTTGCTCCTTCACATCTCCCTCTTTAATAAAGCTTTGCTAAACTTATCTGATGTGACTCAGTGTCAGAATTTCATTGATAATGCTCCTGTGTGGTGTTTTCAGAAATTTAAGTACATAAGAGACACTATATGGGGAGGCAATGGCCTAGTGGTATTATTGATGGACCATTAATCCAGAGACCCAGATAATGTTCTGGGGACCTGGGTTCAAATCCCGCCAAGGCAGACGGTGGAATTTGAATTCAATAAATATCTGGAATTAACGGTCTAATGATGACCGTGAATCGATTGTCGGAAAAAGCCATCTGGTTCACTAATGTCCTTTAGGGAAGTGCCATCCTTACCTGGTCTGGCCTACATGTGACTCCAGACCCACAGCAATGTGGTTGACTCTTAACTGCCCCCAGGGCAATTAGGGATGGGCAATAAATGCTGCCTAGCTAGCGACGCCCTCATCCCGTGAACGAATAAAGATAAAAAAAACTATATAAGTGCAGATATAACACAGTGTGAAGCTGGAGGGGAGGGTCCTAACCCGAAATGTCAACTTTCCTGTTCCTCTGATGCTGCCTGGCCTGCTGTGCTCCTCCAGCTCCATACTGTGTTATCTCTGATTCCAGCATCTGCAGTTCTTGCAATCACTATATAAATGCAGGTTGCTTTAATGTAGAATAGATAATATCAATTCAAAAACCTGGAAAACAATTTTCACAAGCGGCATCTTTCATTACAATAGTGACTGAGTTTCAAATCAGTAGCATGATATGGACCAGATCATCATCTTTAATGGTGTTAATTTAGGGATGCATTTTGACTGAGACTGTGGGAGAACTCCCCTGCTGTTCCTCCAAATAATGCCCAAGGGTGAAGGCAGGGCCTCAGTTTAACATCCTTGTCTGAAAGAGTAACACTCCCTCAGTTGTGTCAGCCTTCATTAAGAGTGAAATCTCTGGAGTGGGACTTGAATTCACAACCTTTTGACCCAGAGTGAGAGCATTACTCACTGAGTCACAGCTGACACCATAATAGAGTTGCATCTTTGTTCTAGCCAGGTGGCTGAAGAATAGGTTCTGTTATACGTCAGGCTTTCTAGCTCCTGTAGGATCCTTTATAGCTTGACGTTTATACCTTCAAATATGGAGTGAACAGTGACAGTGAAAGACAGTGTAATACACCAGAAACGTCTGTTGTTTGAGCCCTGGCTGTGATGCATTACATGACAGGGGTCCTTTAGTTGGTTGCAGTACCCTGGGTCTTGGGAGGGATGTACAAGGTTGCATTTCTGATCAGTGTGTAGTGACCATTCCTCCACCCACGACCCACCACCAACAGCACCCCCAACCTCAGCAAAAGTCTGTGAATTTGAATGCATCTATGGAAGTAATCCTTTCAGAAGCACCACACAGTATCACATTTTAAAGAGTTCTAATAGGAGGGTCGGTGGGGACAAATCATTGTTGTTTCAACCACATGAGGAATATTGCCAAGTCAACTTGATCTGATTTGTATCTAGTTACAAGCAGCCCATTAATGAAGGTAGGCTACTTCTTGCTGAAATTCAGTAGCTATGTGAAGACTGTAATTCCCCGTCTACAAATATTTGTTTTACAGTATTCAGTTTACAGAGGTTATAAAACTGACATAATGGCTTGTTTCAAATTCACAGCAGAAACACAATCAAACGAAACTGAGATTAATTGTATCACAGTTGTCTCTGATTAAGTTACTCACTTTTACAACTTTCTCTCATGTTCTCTTCCTTCTCTCGTGAAAGAGCTGACCATAAATGGGGGAGTTATTCTCTATACCTACTAGCTTCCCTCTACTACCTCATCCTCATCAATGAGCCTGGAGCTGTACTTTTCTGTAAGTGTTGACATCGTTTATATTCTTGGGACGTGGCTATCACTGGCAAGGCTAGGTCTTGCTGTCCATGCCGTATTGCAGAGGGCAGTCAACTAGATGTCTGTGGGCCAGAAGGACAGCAGTGAACCAGATGTTTTATTTTAAAACAACGATAGCTTCGTGGGACTAGCTTTACATTCCTGATTTAGTCATTGAATTCAAGTTCCAACAGCTGCTGTGGTACAGTTTAAGCTCATGGAGTCATACAGCATGGACCCTTCGGTCCAAACAGTCCATGCCGAACATAATCCCAAACTAAACTAGTCCCACCTGCCTGCTCCTGGCCCATATCCCTCCAAACCTTTCCTGTTCACGTGCTAATCCAAATGTTTTTTGAACATTGTAATTGTACCCACATCCACCACTTCCTCGGGAAGTTTATCCCACACGGAAACCACCATCTGTGTCAAAAAAGAAATTGCCTCTATGTCTTTTTTAAATCTCTCTCCTCTCACCTTAAAAATATGTCCCCTTGTCTTGAAACCCCCTATTCCAGGGAAAAGACAACTGCCATTAACTCTATCTATACGTCTCATTATTTTAGGCCACTTCTCAACTTCCTACGCTCCCCTGGGAAAAAGTCCCAGTCTATCCAATTTTTCTTTATATACACAAACCTTTCATACCCAGCAACATCCTGGTAAATCTCTTCTGGATCCTCTCCAGCTTGACAATATCCTTCCTATAACTGGGTGACCATGACACTAGAATAATGACCCATCCATTACTGCCACAGCATGGTCTTGACTGTATATGAAGTCCTCTATAACACTGGATGGGAAGTTTTGTAGTGCATTGGGTGAGTGTCACTTCTTCTAGTCCAGCAATTCTAAGTTCAATTCCCAGCCCAGGACTTGATGGCCAAAGAAGTTGCACCAATAACATGGCC